GAGGAATATTATCAAGAAACAGGAATATTTCTATTCCGGGAATCCAATTTTGTCCCTCCTAGGTCGAAGAGTCACCTATATTTCACACTTCTTATTGAGCGGTCCGTACCCTAGCACCAACAAAATCAACAAAATCAATTCGCGGAGGCGGGAGCAGCGGGTTCAACTTTTTTACTTTTTACTTTTGACCTTTGACCTTTGATTGACCTTAATCATAGCTAATGTAAAGTGCTTATTTCACTCAAACAAAGTGGCGGGTAGCAACTGGTAATTTAATATTTAAATTTTCATGCCAACTCAAATTTTGGGTTTTAGTCAAATATACTACTATTGTATTGTAGACAACTACAGTAGTTGTCTACTACCTAGCAAATTTAAAATACAATACATTTTTATACCTCCTATTTATTTATTTAACCGCTTACTATGGTTTATAATTTAAACAAATTGTTTTAAACTGGTTTAAATTGGTATTTATTTCATAGTTTCGCCAAAATTATTTCAGTCGGTAAATACTTCCAAAAATGGCGAATGCCCCGGGATTAATTGTAACTAAATTGCAAAGTAGGTATTACATTCTTACTTAAGTATAGGAATGCACTGTCAAAATTCATCCCTCAAGGTCCAGTGGTTTGGTCTGGGCATTGATGAATCAGTCAAAACATGTTATTTTATATGCATGTGCAGATTATTAAAAATTGACTTTTTTATTTTGTTTTTTATTAACTTTGGTTTATTAAAATTTATTTTTTATTTCCTAGCATTAAATTACAAATCAAATAATTAAGCATATTTTACAAGTCTGTTATATAAATTTATTCAAATTAAAATTGTATTTCCGTTGTCTATTTTATTTTATAATATTTTAGTATTTATAGGTATTTTAAAATACATGTTAAGTTATTAAGTAAAAAATATTTAAACAAATTTATTGAAAACCATATAAAATACTTAAAAAATTATAATTAAATGTAGATAATAATATACTTTTGGCGCATTCGCCATATAAAAACAATGACAATACACTTATGTAATTTTAATGGTCAATTTTTAAATAATAATAATAAAATATAAGTGTATTAAAATTTAAACATCTGTTTCTTTATTTTACTTCAATAATATTTACATTTTAATTATTTTAACCAAAAAATGTACGTCAAACACGTGTAAGCAAATAAGAGATACCCTCTTTACCAAAACTGAAGGCAATTTACCAACCAATCACTCGAAACTGCCTCAGCCTTATCAATCATCCCTTACCTACATATTGTCCATAACTTCAAAACATAAAGTTGGCAACATTGTTCGGGCCTTTGGGCTTGAAACTCCTGGAAGTTTCCCGACCCGCACGACTTTTATTACCGTCATCAAAACGAAGAACCCCACTTATATTTTTTTCGAATATGGTACTTGATTATAAATGTCCCTATTTTTTAAACCGAAGCCAGGTAACGGCGCCACTTACATTTAGATAATGGACGTTTTTTTTCTGAATAACTGCCATTTTTTTAAATGTTTTATTTTAAATATTTTAAACTTTTAGCTCTGTATCTACATTTGTATTTCAAAAGGGATCAGTACACCTAATTTTTGCGCAAACTTTGAGGGAAAACCTGTTCTGGCAAAGATAAATATTTGGTTTCTTATTAACTAGTTCAACAGTGTATCAATTCCCAATGGAAAAAGAAATCCAGCCCCGAGAAATGCGAGCAATGAAAACGATGCTAAAGGTTTTATTTTATATTCTTTATACATAAAGATGCGTATTATGAAGTAAAACATAATGTTATAAATAATCCCAAAAAAATTAAATGTATTTTTTACAAAATAAAATTTACCAGTACTATAAATTCTATTCATAAATTTGGTTCTGGTTTAAAAAATTATTTTTGTGAGAATATATTAACTATTTTATAAAATTTTATCAGAAACTTAATTTTTACAAAAAAAAAAATATTGTAAAAATTTTATTAATAAAATATAATTAGAATTTAATTATGTTCTAAAAATATTATGGTATATTATGTATTCAAGTTTAAACGCCATTTTAGTCACTTATTTAATTTAGCCACGATCGAGGTTGCCAGCGAGTGCTTAATTAAATGAGTGTCTAGAAAAGTTTAATATTATCTAAAAATGATTTAAATTAAATATTTGTATAAAGCAACATCTATACGTAATTTTTACCATTAACATTGCCTGTTATTATTTTAATTAAACTTAACAAATATTGATACTTTAAAATATTAAAACTTCAAAATTTGATTAAACATAGAAAATATTTTGATTTTTTTTATTACTATACAAAATATGTTATAAAGTTATAAAAATTCTTACAAGGGAAATGTTAAGGTACAAAAAATAACAGTTGTATTTATTGGAATTCCCGTTAGAATTTCTAGCTTGCGTTATAATCTGAAATCGATATAGAAGCAGTTTTTCACATTAAAAGAAAAAAGAATCTTTTATGTGCACTGTACGCAAAATTTTTAAGGCTTTATCAGTTAAATTTATTTAACTGCACAACTACAGCGAAATCAAAAGGTTCATATAATCTTTTCAAATATTGACGTCAAGAAACTATTTAATACTTTTGTATTTTTGTATTGAGATAATAAAATAATTTTCACATTTAGTGATATTTTACAAGAAAGGCACTTTATTTTTACGATTGCATGACATTTGACAACTGTCAACAAACTTAAAACTAACTTCAGCCCGTGACTAAAAATCTATTGCTAACTTCAACCCGTGACTAAAGCGCCATAAAGCCACAACTTGTCAATGTGTATTTAAAAGGTCACTTAGTGTCATGGAAACATGTACGATACGTGGCGTTTTAAAGGTGGGAGTGAAAAAAATTATTTGTATATTTCTTATACGCTTTCTATTGATATCCATTTCCACAGCTACCATCCAATAAGATTTTACTTTTATCAATGTTATTATTAATTATTAATATGATAAACTTTTTGAAATCTTGAACAATAGGTATATTAATTCTTTATATGTTATTTCTTTTCAACTTTTCTTAACGTTAATTGTACTGTAAAAGTATTTTTAACAAAATCGGTTTTACATTCAATATTTTATGTAATCATATACAAAGTATTTTACAAAATAAAAAAGATTTAAAAATAAAAAGCACTCACACAAAACCAATTTTATTACAAAAATAAAGAAAAAAATATTAAAACAAATTTTATTTTGAACAGATAACAAAAAAATGTAAATTTTTCTAAAAATAAATTGTAAGGTGACTCTAGGCCCTAGAGTCTAGGGGAAAGCACCACTCCAGAGCCTTACTACGGGTTGTAGCACTTAACCCACATACCTTGGACTAAGGATTTGTCTAATGAGAATCAAAAGAATTTTTTCACCAATCATAACGCCACTTCCAAACATTACACTACATATTACACCTTGGTATTTGACTAATGACGACTAATTTAATAGTTATTAGTGGCTGATTTTTCACTTGTGCCATGGTTAACCATGGAATACCATGGTATCTCAAAATTTAACAGCCAATTCATATGTAAAATTGTCCCCTGAATCCGAAAATACCGTTTTTCCGAAAGAAATTGCGAGAAAACTGGGTTAAATTAAGTAAACAATTATAAGCAAATTGTTTTTTTTTAATAAATCTAATGGAATCAAGCACAGATTAACTTATTTACATTAAAACCATGCATTTTAAAAAATCTCACGTGAGATTAAGGGGGGGAGAGGGGGTCGAGCAAAATCTCACGACATCTCACCAAGGGGAGGGGGGGTCGAAAAATCGCCAAAATTGTCTCACGTAATTAATGAACGGCCCCTTATCTACTCCAATAAGTAGATAATTAAATGATTTTCAAAATAAATAAATAAAATCTGACATCTGTCAAATGGTTAACCTTACATTTTACCAATTTTAAATGTTATTATAGTCGCCTTCTCCAAAATTAATACCTGATTGGTTCAAATCACAGTGAATATTGAAATCGGCCAATTACTGATGCCTAAGAACGTGAATAATTGTTTCATTATTCCCGTTGTTAGGTAGGGAATTTATAATGTTTAATATAATTCACGAAAAAAATACAATATTACTTCTATGAAGTAGATAAATATTTAAAGATAATGTATGTTTAAACATAGGAGTAGACAAAAAAAATTAATTTTTTTCTGTTGGCTACTCGGCCTACTTTGTCTTTTTTGTTTATGGTTAATTTAAAATTATTATTCGTAAGTTTAAAAACTTTTTATGGGACTTAAAGGAAGTTTAAAAAGAAAAAACGTGATAAAGGTCATAAAAATCGAAAACTTGGCCTATAACATTAAAAAAGGCAGACGCGGCAATTTCTTATTGTAGATAAAATAATGAAAATAAGGGTGATCTCAGCCATAAAAGGCGTAACTTAATATAAACAGACCGCATTCGAAAACTTTTCTACAATCATTCAGTATTTGAAAAGTTGAAATAAGCCAATTTGGAGTCGAGATTGTAAAAACGAAAGGCGCATTTAAGAAATTCCAAACATAAGTTTAAAGTTTCTCATTAGCTCGCGAAAAACTTTTAATCCAATTCCACTCTCGGAACGGCTAATGAGAAAAAAGTGGTCCGCGTTTTTCACTTTGCCGTTTTTTCACTCACAGATGATACTTTTAGCCTTTCGTAAAAAGATAGTATTGAAATATTCTCACAAATTGTAACCTAGATTTACTACTTTTAAGTCTTTGTGTACTTTTCAAATTAACTTTTTATTTGCTTTCATTACGAAAGTGTTTGAGTTTTAATTTATACAAGCAAAAAGAAAAAGATAAATAAAGCAAGTTGGCATATTTGCCAAGGAAATCACTATTTAATGGTGGGTATTTTAAATAAACTGGAATGGCATTTATCTATTCAACATTTTAAGCAATTAATTTACGTAATTCTAAAATGTTATATTTTCTCTTATATATTTTAAATTACCCTTTGCAATTTAAAATCATTTAATTTTAAAAGTTTTAATATGCGGACCCAACATAAAACAAAAAGTAAGACATTAAAATGACGCATTGACGCGTTACACTAAATATTTTATATACTATGTATAGAAAAAGTTTTTAATTTTAACTACTTTGTTCATTTATTTTAATGTGCTTGTATTTATTTTATTTAACTTCACGTTAAAGTATGAAATTTTTAATTGGGAAAATCTGAAAATATATTTGTAGTTAATTGTCACCTGTCAAGCACACTAAATTATCTGGAAAATTAATGGTTAAAATATAGTTTTAATCACAATCCACACAACAAGGTATGTTCTATCTCGTTTCGCCCATACTAAAAATCACTGCACAATTGTTTACAATTCTTGTGCTTTGGGTTAGGGATGTTTAACAGATTAATAATCGTTTTAAACGTTGTGTTTCTTACAGAGCCACTTGTAAAAGAGGCCTTAAGCCTGAATTATAGATTGCCTTCCTTCCGTCCTTCCTTCCTTCCTTTCGTAGAAGATGAACATTACGTAATTGTCACCATTAACATTTCCCGTGTAGGAATTTTTAATTATGTTGTGATTCATTGTGATAATATTTTGCAATTATAGTAATACAAAAAATCAAAGAATAAAATATTTTCTTAACAAAATCATATTTTGAAGTTATTTTAATATTTTAAAGTATTGTTAAGTTTAATTAAAATTAATAACGGACAATGTTAATGGTGACAATTACGTCAAAAATGTTTATTTAAATCGTAGTGCCAGTTATAGATTCCAGTACCGTAAGGACGGCATTCCTTCCTCCCGCGTTTTAAGTTTTATCTTTCACAGTGCTTGTTATGGACATGCGCTGTAGGGTGACAGCGCGTAGGCACAAAATATTTAAAATACCTACATGATTGTTTAGTATTATTTAACATATGTGTTCAGTTTATTAAATAATTTGTGTCTCTAAATAGGATATTTAGATATTGTTTATGATCAATGTCTTTCATTTTTAGAAACGTTGCTTTGTAAAACCCCGTAGTTTCCCGGTCTTGGTAAAGTGGGCGAATCTTCCAAAGTCTTGTTCGATGTTTTTTTTTCATTGTACTGCCCTACTATGGAGAAAGGCAGTAACTACAAAGGCGTTTTCTTGTGCTATGATAAAGCTATGGACATCCTAATTCAACAAAGAAATGCAGTAAACTATCTTTTAAGTTAAATAAATCAGTTAAATACCTTCTGCTTTTTATAAAAATGTAGTTTATGCTAATATCCCACAAATTTCTTGTTTAGCAGTTACTGCCTTTCTCCATAGTTGGGCAGTATACAACAAGCTGCCTGGGCAATTAAAATTGTGATCACTGCACTAATATATAAATAATTATCTTTCATATTTACACACAATGGGTAAAACGCAGAATACAAACAAAAACAAATGTCAACCATTTTAGGTGTCATCGCGCATGGTTACGGAATTTTACACGGGAATCTATAAATTGACTTTTTACAAGACGCACAAATCGTATACGAGCACGTATACGGGCACGACTACGGGAGGAAGGAAGGAAGGCAATCTATAATTCAGGCTTTAAAGCGCAACCATTTTACTTCTCTTTTGTAAAAAAATAAACCTTATAATATCAGGGCTGTCAAATATCAATTTTAAGGTTAATTTTTGGAAATGGTAAATTTGTGGATTATGGTAAATTAACCTTACAATTAACATTTTGGTGACAGTTTGGTGACAGCCCTGATAGAATTAAGCTTAATTTTCATGTATCCGTTTGTCCGTTAGTCCGTTCATCCGGGAGCGCTCTTATTGGTCCAATTATAATTCAAAAATTATGACATTTTTTTCGTCCGTCAAGTTTTAACTTCGTACGTCTGACGGATAAATTTAAAATAATTTTAACTAATCTGTGTAATCTGCTTTTGTAAAAGAGCACTTTTGTAGGGATGGGATTTTAGTTATTTTACCTTTTTTTAACCGATGTAACTATTTGAAACCCAATAGTGCCAAAATGTGTTTTAAAAGATTTTCTTTTATATGAACCTAACTTGTTTTCACCTTTTTTACCTTTTTTGGAGGTTTTTGCTTTTAACTACCTTTTTTATACTTTTGTTACCTATTTTTTTAACTTTTTTTCACCTTTTTTTACCTTTTTTGGAGGTTTTTGCTTTAAACTACCTTTTTATACTTTTGTTACATATTTTTTAATTTGTCAGTTTATTTTCATATATTTGTTACCTATTTTTACGTATTTTTACTTATTTTATTTTTTTTGTTCTTATTAAAATTTGCGCCAATATTTTATCCAGGGCGTGCAACTCAACGGTATAGAATATTTTCTTATGGTTACAGACTGTAACAGTAACTTTCTTTACAGTTACCTTCTTTGTAGTGACTCACTACTAGTGAGTTCTCGGCCATTTCAAGCGCGCGAAACGCACGAATTACAAAACTGTTTTTATAAAAAAAATTGTAGATTATTTATTATATAATATTTTGGCATCAAAATTGTCAAAAATATTCTTCCTTTATTAGGTTATACATTAAATAAAAAAAAACTCAAGAAATATTTTATGAAAGTAGATATAATTTTAATAATTGAAAGGTGTGGACGGGACAAAAAAAAGATTTATCTTGTCCCGTCCATCCCTGTCAATTATTAAAATTATTTCTACTTTTATAAAATATTTCTTGCGATTTTTTTTATTTAATGTATACCCTAATAATAGAAGAATATATTTGACAATTTTGATGCAAAAATAATATATAATAAATTAGCTATAATTTTTTTTATAAAAACAGTTTTGTGATTTGTCCCGTCCATCCGCTTGAAATGGCCGTTCTGTCATAGAACTTCTGTGTAGTGAGTGTCACTCAGTAAAACACAGTTTATTGCATATAAATAGTTTATGGGTGGGTATGCTCTGTGTTTGGGTATGCGGCTAAACAAAATTATAAACGAAACTTAAACTTTTTTTTTACCTAAAATGCTGTTTTTTTAACCTAAAATGCTTTTTTTAGTACCTTTTTAGTTACCTATTTTTCAGTTTTTAGTACCTAAATATCCCATCCCTACTAATCTGTCACTACACATCTGTTTTTGACGCCTAACGTTATTTTAAGATACTTTATTTTCAAATCTTTTAATAAGATTGTAAAACGGAAATATAACGTTTGTTATGTGAATAATGTTCTACTTTTATGTTTTTATTTAATAATAATAACAGAAAAAAGACAAACAATAAAATATTAAAACCAGAACTAAAAGGACCTGCTTTTTTAAAACTATACATTTTAATGTAAATTAAGGCTAGTATATTCTTTTTATTTCCACCTTCTTAGTAAATGACATTTTATAGGTTAATTGTGTTGTTTTTGTATTCAAGTAAACGATACATTATGGGAACAGACCTGTAATACTTTACGGGCTTGTATAAAAGACCTGTAAAGTTTTACAGGCTTGTAGAAAAGCAATTTATGAAATGAAATGTCACATTTGACATATTAATTAAAATTTTAAATTTGAAAATCGTTATCTAAAGGTGAAAATAAAAGTTTGTACGTGTCACGCTTTGCAATTAATCTATACTAGGCTCACTGGATTATGGGGTTCGCTCCTGCGTCGCTCACCCCATAAACTTCCAGCTCGCCTGTAAAGATTCATTTACAAAGCTTGACACGTAAATAACTATTATATGGTATATTTACCTACCTTTAAATTTATTAGACAGCTGTTAAAGTTACAATTGTTTACATAATTGTAACTATGACAATTAAACATTAGGTAAATTTAGTAAAGTGAATATACTGACCCTTAATTTTTATTTGTCGCCAAATCAATTCGTTAAACGTCATGCTTGAAAATTAGCTTAAGGCTTATTTTTTACAAAAAAGGAGTAAAATGTTTGTTCTCAGCACACAAGGCCCATTTGGTTAAACCTAAAGTGGCATTTGGTTACATATTTTAGAAAAATAGACTTTAATGGATTAATCGCTTTTAAAATTTCAAATCGATATCTTTTTACGTTCCCCAGAATAATAAATAATTTTATGTAATTTTTTTGCATCATCTAAACCTTTAATCATAGAGAGTTCAATTTAACTTAATTATTCCTCGTGTCGAAAAAGTATTTACAAGAGGGCAATTTACTTTTTCCGATTAAAAAACTTGGTTGACATCGTCTGTCGATTTTAATTAAAAAAAACGTGTTTAATCCGGATAGCAGAGCTGATGGTATAAATTTTGTTGCAGGTAATCGAGGGGTGGAGGCACCGTACGCCGTATTGGTTTTTGTGCACGGCGAGAGCTTCGAGTGGGGCGCCGGACACCCGTACGACGGAAGCGTGCTGGCAAGCTACGGTCACGTTATTGTGGTGACACTTAACTTCCGGCTGGGAATTCTCGGTAAGGCCTTTCACATTTTAACAAAATTCTCCAATTAATGTCAACATTACTACTGCCGCAGGCCTTTTGGGGTCGTCGTTTTGCAACTAATAAGAAAATCTGGCCCAAAAGAATGTTATTTAGTACGGAGCTCAAATACATTTTTCTTTTTATCATTACATATCGAATAAAAATATATTAATGGTTAGTTAGTTTTAGTCTGTATGTAGACTAAATTATTTTTGACTGTAAGCTAAGATTTTAAGAATATATTTCAATTCTTTTAAAAAAATCTTATTTGGCACTTAAACTTTTATACAACAACAAAAAAAATATTAATTATAACTTAAGAAAAAAGTTAGTAGAAACACTTGTTTTACCGTTTCTCAATTATGGGATTATTCTCTATTACCCATGCCTTGACCAAATAAACAAAACTAGAGTTCAAAAAATTCAAAATTCATGCTGCAGGTTTGTATTTGGCCTTCATAAATATGACAGAATTTCTAACAAAATTAATAATTTGGGTTGGTTAAAAATTGAAAATTTATTTAAATATAATTTGTCTGTTTTTGTTTACAATTTACTTAAATCCTCAACGCCTTTGTATCTTCGTAAAAAACTAACTTTTAGATATAACCTACACGATTTAAATATTAGATACCAAGATTTAAATATTAGGTACCAAGATTTCGATCAGCCATCTTCACGAGATCATTTTCGTATAACGCACCCTGTATTTATAACGCCATTGATGATAATATTAAGTCTCAGTCAGAAAAACGCTTTTGCAAGGAAGTAAAGGCATGTTATTTTTCTTTACAGATTTAATTATTTTATTAGGTTAAGTTAGATTTAGAATTAGGTTAAGTAAGGGTTAAGTGGAGTAGCCTAGCTAGACTTCGCCTTTTAATTATTTTTTGTACGTAATTAATAAAGACATTATTATTATTATTATTATTATTATTAATAATATTAATATTATTATTATAATTATTATTATTATTATTATTAAAGAAGAAATATTTTTAACGTTCTATTTATTTATTTTAGTATAAAGCTAAAACTTCAGGAATTTTAAAATTTATTTTGATTTATTACTTTTGCACCTTTTTATATTTAACATGTATGGAGCGCTGTTTTATTTTTTATTCAGGAATTAATTTGTTTTGTTAACCCTATAGTGATATTTTCAATTAGATAATAAATATCACATACGATTTTTTATTCTGCGAATTAATAATATCATACATAGCATATATTTTAAAAATGGAATTTAGTGAATTTAAAATATATTTTATATATCTGTTTCTTATATTTGTATTTTTTTTAAACACACATTTTTAATTTCCTAAGTTAAAAATTAGAGTTAGTTTTTATGCCAAACAGATATATTTTATTTACTTTATTTAAAATATTTGCTTCTTATATTTGAAAACAAATTTTTAAGTCGCTAAATTAAAAATATCATAGGAAATATTTATAATTCGATTTAATTTTTATTTTATCAAATAAGCATACCTATATTTTTAATTGAATGTGATATTTTTAATTCCGACTGATTGAGAGTTTGGATACCCCTGTTATTCCAAACGACACAAACACCAACCCACTCCAACAAGGGGACATCCATTAATTCCTTGCTTGTTTATATTCTTGATTTGCGACTAGTTTCGGTTATACACCATCTTCAGGCAAACTACAAATAATGAGGTATTAAATAAATATTTAAAAAAAAAATTTAAAGTTAGGTTAAGTTATTTTGGTTAAAATATTTGTTAATTACGATTATTATAAATATAGTTAACATGTAAAATTAGTATCTACTTACAATATCAAGTTTTAAAGTATGAGAAAATTAAAATTAAAATGAATTAATATGGTATGATGTGATATTTTTAATGTATTTAAAAATTTCTCCTAAAATATTTTTAATTTAGCGATTTATAAATATGTGTTTAACTAAGAAATATAAAAGATATAAGATACAGATGTTTTAAATTCACCAAATTAAAAATATCAGATTGGCATAAAAATTTAATTAAATTTTTTAATATCCACTATGATATTTTTAATTCGCAGAATAAATTTTTTTATATTATATTATTTTTCTAATTGAAAATATCACTTAAGTGTCAACAAATAAGAATAATTACTGAATAAAAAAATAAAACGGCGCGCCATAAGCATACCTAGTTCTATTTATTTAGTATTTATTATGAAGTCCGTTGTTTCTTGTAATTTAATTGTATTTTTTCTAATAATAAGAAATTTGTGTTACTCCTAACCATTAGAAGTAAAACAAGGTCCGAATATCCTTTCTAAAGGATTATAAACTTAGAATTAACTTACCTGACTAAATTTCGTGTACATTACCTATTTAGTAATTCAAATTAAATAGTTATCTGAGCTTCAACAAGTACTTTGGCAAATAAACAGATCTTATTTTCTGATAAACGTAAAATAAATATTTACTTAGACAAACTTTTAAACACATGTAAACAACTAGCTTAAACTTAATACTTTAAGCCACTTTCAAGTTGAAAACCTTTATAGTTCGCGGCTAAATAATGTCGTTGAATTAATCCGAAATACAAAGGAACCCAGAGAGAACGACAAGTAAGCACAACACGTGTGCAGTGTTTGGATTTGAATCGAAAAAATTCTAAGAGGATCTACACCCACATAATCGTAGACGATATCTGCAAAGGCTTTGGCAGTACTAAACAAATATTAGTTGGGAGATTCTAGTTTTGAATTGCATTTAACGTTTAAGTTTCTAGTTATCTATATATACAGGGTGATTCAAAACTCGAGGCGAAAAATTAAGAAATGTATACAGTTTTATATTCTTGATATAAAATTTAAAATAAAATTTTTGGAGATATGGCTTTGTTTCCGAGATATTAGACTTTAGTATTAGTATTTGCATGTGATCAATTTAATAATATAAAAATATAAAAAATAATTAAATTAAATGTTCCAAAATATCACCATTAGCACCAATACAGGCTTGGCAACGCTAAATAAGGAAATCGTACACTAATTGCATGTTTTGCCTATTTTGAGTGCATTCGACTGCATTAATAATTATTAACAAATTATTAAATTATTAATTATTATTATTAAATTATTAACAAATTATAATTTGTTCCATTAATTGTTCTTGGTTATTAATTTCAAATGCGTAAACCAGTTGTTTTAAATGGCCCATACAAAATAGCCCAAAGGGTCAGGTGATCTCGCAGGCCATAGCACCTGACCATGCCGACCAATCCATCTCCCATTAAAAGTTTGGTTTAACCAGGCGACAACATTTCGTCCAACATGCGGTGGTTCTCCGTCGTGCTGATACCACATACGATTGTATTCCAAATCCACAGGAAAATTGTGAGATCGTTTTCTAAAAATTGCAAGTACGCATATGCATCCAAACGATTAGGAAGGACTTGAATCAGAAGTAGGGGAAGGTGGGGAAATTCTGCGCTTCTAAGCAAAATCTCTAGTATCTTTGTTAAGTTTAAATGTGAAATTTTGCAATTAATACCAGCGATAGTCTACTATGTTTACTATGTATATATAATGCGCAATTTATAAAAAAAATTGTTTGGTATGCAAAAACTACATTTTTTTAAATAATGCATTTGCGCAAAATTACCCACCTATCAGGGTAATTTTGCGCATCACAGGGGGAAAATTTGCGCTGTATAGAGAAAGATTTGTAGGTATCTAAATAAACCGTTTATTTCTATAATATTATTTTATAAAAACATAAAAATAAAACAAAACTATTTTCTCTATGAAAAAAACAAAACAAACAAAATCAAAAATAAATAACTAAAAATAAAATTTTTGTTCTTAGAAATAAGAGGAGGGTCTACATGCAGCAGTTGTCACATATGTAGTTTTAGGGGTTGTTTTTTTCGCTACACTCCGCGTGTGCCCAAATGGAACTGTTTATGATGAACAATCTAGGCTCCTGTACCAAAGCTCCCATATTGGCCAAATTTTGCAGCGCAAAATTACCCCAATTTTTCAGCGTAAAATTACCCCCATTGCAAGAAAAATATTGTGATACTAAAAAACTTTCCAAAAGTTAACCTGAACAATTTAAACATACACCAGATTACGAAGAAAGATCATATAAAGTTGTGTTATAAACATTTAAGCGATTGGACAGAAATTTAAACTTAACTCGTAGCGGAAACAACATGGATTTCGTAGATCAACGTACATGTATCACAGTTAAGCTACAAGCTTAATTGCGGTACACTTTAGTCCCCGTATACCCAAAGCAACGTTTCCAAGTTTGCAACATTCAAAAAATGTATTATTTACTTCATATCTGGAAGAAAATTCTCCCACCTTCCCCTAATTGTCCCTTAAAGACTCCGCCCCATACATTAATAGAGAACCTTTGTTGAAAAAGCGTATCTCTGAAGAAATTTTCATTTGGTTCATGATGCAGAAGTAGCAATTGTCAAAAGGCAAGTCGTTGCATGTTATCTCCTGGGTGCAAATTATGTACTTTTTGTTTATGAAATGGATGTAAAACTTCGGTTTTTAAGGTTCTCCAAGCAAAACTTTGGGATACATTAAGACGGGCAGCAATGCATCTGGTACTAATTTCTGGATTATCGAGCAAAGAATCTATCACTTCTTCTTTCCTCACAGCATCATAATAATTATTTCGGGTAGCACCACCAGCACCAGTACGGGAATTACCAATTCCAAACTGTCGTAGCCTTTGATAAGCGTCGGAAAAAACCCGGTGAGATGGTTATCGTTTGTTAGGGAATCTTTTGTTGTACTCCCGACAAGATTTTAATGCGGTGCCTTCACAAAAACCACAAACAAAAATAATATATGCATATTCTTCGTTAGAAAACTGCATGATTAACAAAACAACTAATCCAACAAAGCAACTTTCAAATTTGTAAACAATTTTTGGTGGCTGTCACCAGGTGACAGGTCACTTATTTCTAGGCTTACTGTAATTTATGAAATTAAATTGGTCGCATACAGAAACTTTAAAGTCTAATATTTTGGAAACAAAGCCATATCTCCAAAAATGTTATACAGTACAGTAAGAACCCAGGGTTGATACTTTAATGACATTCTCGTCTTCGTCGGAATTTTTTTGGCGTAATTTTCTTTATAATTAAAAGAACTCCTTCAGCGTAGTGGGATACACTGGGTGCGCCATTTTCTCGACTGTATACTTGATAAGGAAACACTTTTAATGTTAACAAAAGATTTAAATACATGTAGTAAACTCTACAAATAAAGTTATATTTTAAAAATAACTGGAGCGTAGTGTATAACCAAAATAAGTAATTCTTAGGGAAACTTTTATAGCGAGTCGTAAATAATCCCCTAACAATGTTAAATAAAATGTAAACTAAATACGCTGCTGCTTAACATTTAAAATAGTAAAAATCCCAACTTTTAGTATGCGGAAAGATACAAGAACAAGCCTGGATAAATTTCTCTGTAACCGTTACTGAAAATTGTCTTTAAAATGTAATGCCTTTGCTTCTACAAGGAAATCAACTTATTTCGCACAATAACTGTATTACGCTTAGATATTTTTTCTACTCCCACCTTTATAACGCCCTTTAACGTACATGTTTCCATGACACTAAATGACCTTTTAAATACACATTGACAAGTTGTGGCTTTATGGCGCTGAAGTTTTAAGTTAGTTGACAGTTGTCAAATGTCATACAATCGTTAAAATAAAGTGCATTTCTTGTAAAATAATACTAAATGTGAAAATTATTTTATTATCTCAATACCTACGAAAATACAAAAGTATTAATTAGTTTCTCAACGCCAATATTTGAAAAGTTTATATGAACATTGTACTGACCTTTTAATTTCGCCGGCAGTAAACTATAACTTCGGGCACGGACTCCACTGTAAAGTCCTCATAAAACATTTTCTTTACTTTTACTTTAAAAAACTGTTAATTTTCAAAAAATACATTTCGATTTATAACCTTTATAATCTGTGTTTATAAAATGTAAAAATGTGACATTTGACGGTGACACATAGATTCCCCTATTGTTTCATAGATGGCGCTTTATAAAATTTTTTGATTTAAATCATTTTAAGATAATAATAAGTATTTGTCGTAGAAAAAGTATAGTATGCACCTCGTCTATAAACTTTTCTATACACTCATTAACTTAAGCACTCGCTCGCAAGCTCGCTCGTGCCTAAATTAAGTTCGTGCATAAAATGGCGTTTATCAAACTTGATACATAATATACTATTATAGGTTTACCTAGCAAAAAAATCGGTTTGCAAGTTTATTTAATTTTTCGGTTTTATATAAAATTAAATTTTCATGGAAGGTGTTTGGGTGAAAAAGTTAATTGAGTTAAAAATAGATTAATGGTGTTGGTTATCCTAATTTTATTAAATTTAAAAAAAAACGTATACAATTTTTTTATGTCACATTTTTGATAGGTAGAGGGTATTATTTTTACCAAACAATTATAAGGTGCATAATTTTAGTCTATTTGTTCATGTTTTTTAGTAAAAAAAACATTATTTTATCCAAAATAAATGTAATTGTTGAGGTTAATCTGACAAAACGTCCATTTCAGCATTTTTATAAAAAAAATTTAGGTAATTTATTTAGGTATATTATTTTTGCATCAAAATTATCTAATCCCAATATTCTTCTTTATTAGGCTATACATTAAATACAAAAGACTAAAGAAATATTTTATAAAAGCAGACATAATTTTAATAATTGATATATCAATATCAACTAAGTATAGTTGTGAATGGGACAAAATAATTTTTTTGTCCCATCCACATAAATTTTTAAAATTATCTCTATTTATATAAAATATTTCTTGCGTTTATTTTATTTATTGTACAGCATTATTAAACAAGAACATATTTGACAATTTTGATGCCAAAATATTATATAATAAATTATCTACAATTTTTCTTATAAAAATAGTTTTGTAATTCGTGAGTTTCGCGCGCTTGAAATGGTTGAAGACATCCTAACATTTTATCTTCAAGGCACAGTTTTATTTGACGAAACGATATATCGTTGTATACATAAAACCTACTTACAATAATAATTATTGTAAGTACGTTTTAGTTACAATAAAAATTATTAAAAGTATAAAGTTAACTTAAATAGCTTCAGATCTGTCAGGAATTATCGATTTTTTCACCGAGTAAGATGTAAAAAACTTGATTGGTCTAGGTATATTATTTTTACAGAAAATAATTAAATACTTTGGTAGTGAGCATTAACAATAATAAAACTTAAATTAAAGAACGCTGTTTTGATGTTTTATGGATTTTATTAAAAGACTTTTTAATGGGGTTTTGATAAAATTAAAAAGTATTTAAAGAAGAAATGTTCATAAACTTTCTCAAAATATTTCATTTCAACTGTTCTAGTTTATTTTTGTAATTCTGCAAATAGCAAGTGTCGACATATGGAAGTTTTTTATTTTATATATCTTGTTAGCATATAATTTAAAACAAATAATCACTACTAGATGTAAAAACTTTTAGCTAAGCGTTCAGTGAAGTATCTGTCTCCTAAGCGTTCTTCAAATATTTCGTATGGTATTTAAATATGGACCATTTAACGGAAACACAGAGAATTGAAGTTTTAATTCTTATAGCATATAATTTAAAACAAATATTCACTACTAGATGTAAAAACTTTTAGCTAAGCGTTCAGTGAAGTATCTGTCTCCTAAGCGTTCTTCAAATATTTCGTATGGTATTTAAATATGGACCATTTAACGGAAACACAGAGAATTGAAGTTTTAATTCTTATAGGATATGGCAATAATACTAGAACACAATAAGTAGTTTGCAATTTATTTAATGCAAAGTATCCAGCTTGACCTATTATAATAATAATTTTTATTTGTGCTACGGGTAGTAAAATTGAACGGAAAATCAGAGAGACTGGACATGTTAAATATATTCCAAAACCTGGCTGTCTGAGTATTAGAGAAGACACTAAAATTGACATTTTGTTACGCGTGGAAGAAGATCCTTACAGTGCTTCTAGACTAGTTGCAGATGAAAGTCAAGTCAGCCAATGCTTAGTATCTTATGAAGAAAGAAAAGTACCATCCATACAAAATTAGACTAGTGTAGGAGCTTAACGAAGATGATCTGGTAGAATACAATTTTGTGAAACTATGATGAATTTATGTAAAAATAATCCACACTTTCCTCGTAAAATTCTTTTTTCGGACGAAGTTACCCTCTGTTTGAATGGTACAGTCAACCGTCAAAATTTTAGTTACTGGACCAGAGAAAATTTCATTGGGTATTAGAGGCAAATTTCCAATCATAGGTCCTTTCTTTTTTGATGAGAATATGAAAGGACAAACGTATTTGGAATTTCTCTACATTGATCTTTATGATGATGCATTTTCTGATGAAGAAACGTCAAAAGGTTAATTTGAGGATGCTGTCTGACTCAGAATTTTCCCAGGATTCCAAATATGTAAAAATATATAGGGTATTCCATTTAAAAATCGAAAGTTGGCATCATTTCCGGCGAAACCGGAAGTTTAAAAAATCAATTTGTACTCTTATAAGTTGCCTTTTATATCCTAATTAACCATGGTAAATTATATCTGTCTTTGATAAATAAAAAGTTACAGGAGTATTCTATTCTCAGATACACCTGGTATATATAAATATATACGCTAATTTTGTCTATAATAATAATCATAATTTCTAAAAATTTGTTTATAAGGTCTTTAGAACACAAAAAATACATATATTGTATTATTTTATGTCAGTGGGACTTTTGATGCATGGTACACTTTTATTTACACAAAATTGATATTTAAATCGAAAAATTCGGTGAAAAATCCTTTTAGCACCCTTGTTTCACGGTCTAATATAAACCTGCTTCCCCATCCAATAAATTGTTTTGTTTATCTGACCCTACTTAAGGTTCAGGTTTTCGTTTTCCGACATCTTTTGTGTCGACTTGTAGCATCAGGTGATGAAATCTGGAACGCACACACGTGTACCAGTATCCTGAAATATTTGGTTTATATTCCAGACCATTTGACAGATACCGCGTAAAACGAAAGGAGGCACTGTGGGGCAATGTCCAACTTTGAAAGATAAAAAGTCCAGGGAAATTATTTGATCTAACTTTTGTAATTTATTAAGGACATTTCTTTGAAATTTCTGATACGATCTCAATTTTATTAATGTTTTTGACTAAATCAAACATATAGTAAATCTTTGAGTTAAAAATGTTACTTATTTGCGTCCATTTCTTAACTAAAGTTAAATCATTATTTTCCAGATATAGGATAAGTTTTCTTTATAAAAAAATTGACGAAACTGTTGAAAAACTCTCAGTTCTTACATTAAAAATAAGGACCTGAAGCTTCAAGCTTCAAGCAAGTTTTTCGTCTACCGTGCACGATGCGCAAAACCATACAGGTAGAGATATCCTTCATAATAGCTGGGCAATGTTTCAGAAATAAGTCGACAAGAAAAAGTTATCGGAGCTTGCAAAAATACGTGGTGATAACCTATCTTGCAACATGTATTAGAGCTGTTCTTTCAGCTGTCAACGCCTGGAACGACACGTTAAAACTGATAAGAGCGTGATCGATTTCTCTAAGCGAACTTGCAATATCTTTACTACCTTTCCCTGATGGCTTTGTGCGACGCTAAATTAGATTGTCGTTATTTCCGATGCCGTTTTCCCTTATTTAATCGCGAATTTGTCGCCATAAGCCATTTTATTTTAATTTATAACTAATTTGATCAGACTGTGCCACAGTCTACTAAGTAATGATCGAAAGCGGTCACCGTCAAAGCGCTTATTTTAAATTTGACGTGTTAGTAGTAATAATATTAGATGGCGCGTAAAAAAATAAAATAAATCCATAGATTGGGCATTAAAGCGTTGTTTAAAACTTCTTATTTAATAATAAAACTGACGTAGTTTATTTATGAGTATTCCTGTCATGATTTATTTGTTATCGTTATAATTACCTAGCTTTGAAAATAACAGCTTTTAGCTACATCTGCACTGTTCAAAATTTCATGACCATTTTAACACCAAATTAACACCAAATATGGTCTATATCGATACAAACCAAAATGGTGTTAAATAAGGTTCGTTGGTCCGGTGTAAATTCAAATACTAAAATGGTGTTAATTTAACTTTCACACAGTATTAAAATAAATTTTACTTGGTGTAAATTGAACTCCTTTTCAGTGTTAAATATTATGTGTTTGTGGACAAATTAAATCATACTACACAGATAAAAGGAAAAAAAAGGAAACAGGAAGTTCCTTGACGCATTACTAGTATATTACCAGTGGTATTATTCCAGAAAATGGAACCTTCAACTCGCTAGAGATAATCTTTTTAGTGCGTTGCACTAACTTAAAATACTTCAAGTATTGATAGCTGTTTCCACCTATTTAAGGTCTCTTTAGTATCGAACAACTTGTAGTGTCACACCAAAGCAAAGGATTACCTCAGTTTATATCGTCGTTTATCTGACAAAGAGGCGTATCTCATTTTTAAACAAAACGGTGTGAATTGAATTACGCCAGTTTGTACGGCACACAAAATGCAAAAATATTAGTTACGCCGAAACTGATTTATGCTAAAACTTTATTTGTACCTATTTATTATAGAGCTACGCCAGTTTGTGAGATTATAAAGTCGATTTTGCTGATCATTCTGGTATAACTCAAAAACGATTTTTTTTGAGTTACGCCTCTTTGTCAGATAAACGACGATATATTCTTCATGTAAGTCAACAGAGGCGAGATTTAAGAAAATCACGTGATCTACACCGCCTTTGCCGCGATCGGTACACATTTTCAACCATAATTCATGGTGTTATATTAACACCACTTGGTGTTTAAATTCAATAGTTTAAATTTGTCTTATAAGTGCTCTTGCTTTATAGGACAAACAAATTTTCGATGATTTCGCCGCCTATCTCACCAATAACAGTTTCAATGTTATGTCCTTAACGAAACCCCACAGAAAAAATCTAACGGCGTCAAATCACAACTCCGTGCAGGCCAATTGATATCTCCAAAACGACTGATTATTCGGTTGTTAAATTTGGTGCGCAAGAGATCGATTGTCAGTCGGCTTGTATGGCATGTGGCCCTATCTTGTTGAAACCAAAGATCGTCTACATTGATGGCGTCGATTTGAGGCCATAAAAAGTTGGTCAACATGGCTCTGTAACGGTCGCCATTGATGGTAACGGCGTTTCCAGCAGCATTTTCGAATAAAAATTGGCCAATTATGCCACCACTCCAAAATCCACACCAAACTGTCACTCTTGGTGGATGCATTGGCCTCTCTATAATTACGTGTGGCTATTCCGTACTCCAAATCCGGCAGTTCTGCTTGTTTACATAGCCCCCGAGATAGAAATGAGTTTCGTCTGAATTTTTTGATCAAATTTGACGTCATTGTTGAACTGGTCTGTGGCTCACAGCGAACTGATATCGAAGCGGATGGTCATTTGCTTTCAATTCCTGAGTCATCTGGACCTTGTAGACGAATAATCAGAGATCTTTGTGCAGTATTCTCTTTAGGCTGGTGCGACTAATGGCCAGTTGCTGCGATCGACGTCGAGTTGAGGTCGATGGATTTTGTACCACACTACCTCAATATTCTCAGGCGTACGCACTGTCCGAGCTCGAGGACCTTTTCTGTTATCTAATTTCACTACAGCAGTTCCCCTTGGCGCTCTTTCACGACCCATAATTCGCACGGTTTCAGCTACACAACACTGAAAATATATTTACAATATTTTGAAACGCTCCTCAAGCGAAAACATGACATGAAAATAGACTGACAAGCTGTCAAAATTTAAAACAAATCGGTGCATCGAGTGTTGCCATGGGCAATGATTACAATATTGTTAAGTATACAATCCAAGGAACCGCTAGGTTAACCGTATGTCGAGAAATCGGTTTTTGACAATCGACATTGATGACGCAATTTGAAACATTCGCCGCGACGACTATATATATATATGTCAACTCAAGCTTTATAATAAACAATCCACAATACAAAAAAAATAATAATCTTTAAAATGTATAAACATTTTTGTCTAAGTCTATAGTTAAAAATATTTTGCAAATAAGGATGGAAGTTTAACAAAATAATGGTAAACAAGTTGAGTTGAACTTTTTATATTCTAGTAATGAGGTAAGAAGTGCAGTTGGAGGAAGGAATTTAATATAAATAAATTAAGCATAACTTTGTTTTAAAAACGTTTGGAAATCGGAAAAGTGCTATGCATACAATATTTACAAACTGGAGCACTTAGTAAGTGCTTTTCTAAGTAGTTTCTCGCAAATAACTTGTTTAAATAGTGTTCATCGAGGTTTTCAGATTAAAAAGAGTAAATTAAATATTTGAAGTTAAATTGAACGTAATAGAGAAAAGTATTATACCAAAAATAAAATGGTTTTCAATTATACTAAAGACAAAGAACAATGCATACAAATTATAAATTTGCATATTAAGCAGGACTTTTATTAAGTTAACTGAAATGTTTGTTAACTTTAAAACTGCACCAAATTGAAATAATAAGATGACACCGAATTTACAGTGCACGAGAATGGAACTTCGCTAATGTATTCAATTTTGATCTATGACAAATTTTAATGAACTGCGAAGGAACGGCAAAACCTTTGGAATACGTAATTGCTTTTTTCAGCGAGATTTTCATTTAAGTTTTTGTTTTAACATGGAATATAAATGGAACGGAATCATAATATTTTTACTTAACTACAAAAAGTTAATACAATTTTTCCATCGCTTTCCATCTTTTTTAATTGCGTTTTTTTATTTAATATGTACAAGGAAATTTTGTGTTATCCAGTTTTTTATTATATTAATTATTGTATAGGATGAAGAAATTATTAAAATTTTATATTAATCCAAAAATAAATTGCCATAAAAATATTTTTCTAAATTACCGAAATATTATTTGCTGCTTATTTGAGTTTTAATATCATGCTTTTACTAGTTTCTAGAAAACTGGACTTATGGGCTCCTAAAAATTGACAACATTGACATATTTAAGAAGAAACATCCTCTATTTTTATATTGAAACCAATGTCATGAAAATATGCACAGCTTCCTTAAGTCACAAAAACATTTTACATTAAGCAGCTAAATAAATAAATCAATAAACATATTAAAGAATCGTAATCAATAACGTGATATTTCGCATATACACACCCTCTTCGTTCACTGACGTAATACTAAAAATGTTTTCCTCTTGAACCGATTACTAATTTTTTTGGGTGCATTTTTAACTGTTTGACACTAGATCTGCGAAAAATGTCAAACAAATATCATAGCCGCTCTTTCATTTGGTAAAAATTAAAAAAGGACAAAACACTCCAAACCGCAAGAAAGAAGGAGAAAATACACTTTCATAACTGCCAACGCAAAAAGTGATCACGTGATTAATATTGCGACGTTGCCGCTTATTTTTGCCTTATTTATATCGTCAAATTCTTGTAAGGTAAAAAAATAAATTGTTTTCATATTTTATTTTAAATTTAAGAACAGGTAATAGTCACTGGGGACAAGATGTGGCGAAAAAGGTGGATGCAATTGTAGTTATAGCGGCTTTGTTAGCTGGATAATTTTCTTGGTGAAACATGATTTTTTTTCTTTTATAAATGAGGATATTTTTTAAGTGACAGTGAAAGATTTAAACATTAAACTTAAAATAATATAAACTAACCAAATTACTGATTTTTTTTTATTATTTTAAAAACTATTATTTTACCAATTCAAAGTTTTAGAAAACATTAAGGCCCAGTTGTATAACAGTGGGTTAACAGCTGATTAGCTGATTAACTCTTAAATTTAATTTAATTTAATGTTTAGCATGCTCCGTGACAGACAAAGTGTACCACACTTAGATAATAACTAAGTGTAGTACACTTTGTCAGTAACGGAGCACCGCTAAACATTAAAATAAATTAAATTCAAGAGTTAATCAGCTAATCAGCTGTTAACCAACTGTTATACAACTGGGCCTAAATAGTCTCTTTGTTGGTCATTTTAAAAACACATTATTTTGTAATAGCGCTTAATTTTTGTAATAGTAATATAGTAAATTTATAAAGCTTAAACCTTAAATTTTGCTTAAAACCAATTATTAAATATATATATATATATATATATATATATATATATATTAGGGTGTTCCTTATTTAGGGGTCGGAAAAAATTTAACAGAGCCGCCCCCCAAATCGGTTCTAAATCATAAAAAAAAAATTCCTGCAAAATTTTAGGTCATTCGGTCAAAGGGAACACGTGCCCCACAGGGGTTTTTTAAGAAATAATTGAGAAAATTCGGAAGGCTGATATAACTCCGAAACGGTCCATCGTAGGAAAAAAAAGTGTATATAAATTTTATGAGTTTTTTTTAGATAAACAACTTTCGTAATAACAGTCCTGCGTTAAAAAAATTTATTCGGGGTCAAAACGCGATAAAGCGCTTTTTTGTGTACTTTAGCGCTACCTATTTTTTCAATTTTCTGTCCTAGAGCATCGACCCAATGACATAAATTGTAGGGGACAATGCACCCTACAT